GTTAGCTAAAAATTAGGAAGATCGGTATATAATCTTTCCAACCCCAAAACAAAACAAAACCCAACCTCTTGTTTCATCCCCCTTCCTAACTGTGGCCAAAACTTAAAAACTCGTGTCGTCCATTGAAAATTGGAGAAAAAACTTACATCGGAGACTGGGAATCAGAACAATGGACGAAGTTCCTGAAGAAATCCGCCCCAAGAGAACAAAAAGATGGATGGAAGCAACGCCAGGGGACAAATAAGTTCCTGAAGAAGTCATTCACGACATCCTTCTGCGCTTGCCCAGCAGCAAGTCTCTACTCAAATGCACCACAGTGTGCAAGTCATGGAGGTCTCTGATCCGAAGCTCTGCCTTCATTCACACCCACCTCAGCCACGCAATCATCAAATCCAATAACCAAAACGATGACGCTCAGCTCCTCCTGCTACAGTCTTCCAATGCAACTCTGTCATTGCATTGGGATCGCAGCCCTTCATTAGTGAGTATTCTAAGCTCGTAAATCCATTCGTAGCTTACAATGAACTCCAAGGACGTCCAAAAGACAATTTAGATTTAAGGGTCCGCACGGTCAAGGTGGTCGAAACTTGTAACGGGCTAGTATGCCTCCATCACTGCCTTACCACGTTAATTTGGAACCCGTGTATTAGAAAGTTTGTGATTTTGCCTCAGGGCACTGTTTCTGCGTCTGAGTATATCCTAGAAGTTATTCATTTGGCTATGATTCGTGTACCAACGACTGTAAGGTTTTGAGATTTGTAAGAGAAAGGCCTGTTTCTTGTGCAGTTGAGCTTTGGTCCTTAGCCAGGGGCTCCTGGAGGAGTGTTGTTACTCCAAACCTAGTCGATGAAATGCTTCCCAGTACAATGTTTGGCCCTGTGATTGAACCGGCTTTTGTTAATGGTGCCATGCATTGGATTCAGGATTGTGTGGATGAGAATGTGATTTTGTCTTTTGATTTGTCCACTGAATCATTTGGCAAGATCCTGTTGCCCAATGCAGATTCGAGAATCAAATTTAGGATGCTTGTAGATTTTTACTATGTTTCAAGATGCGGAGACTTCCTTGTCTTCTTTGAGAATAATAGAATTCGGAGTACTGACTTGGTTTCTTTAATGGAAATGCGCAGCAGTTCAATGATAATGGTTACTTTCTCTTGTGGGTGATGAAAGAGTGGTGTTGCAGAATCATGGGCTAAGTTATTCACTATATCCCCGCAAGAATTTGTGGCAAGGACACCGCCTGGTTTTACAGGAACTAAGATGAAGCTGTTGGTTTGGAAAGGGTGGTGAAGTGGTGCTGACTTAATTTTTTAAAAGAACGGCTATACTATGTTTTTTCTTTTAAGAGAAATAGTATAGCCGTTCGGCTATACTCTCCTTTCCCTAATTTTTTTTAAAAGTCAACATTCAATATTCGCATTGAACATGTACGTACAAATTTTTTTAATTTAATATGCATATTTTTACAATAGTTTCAATAATACACATAAAATTAACGTATTATGCATATATATTATTGAATACAAATATTAATTAGGGGCCGAACTTTTAAGTTGGAATTTGCCAAATTTTGTACATTGTATAGCCATGCGGCTATACCAAATGATTAACTATAACTAGGAGGGTCCGGCTATACTCTATTTTTCCTAATTTTTTAAAAAAGAAATCGTATAGCCGTGCGGCTATACTCTGGGTTTTCCTCAAATTAATATCTGTGGGACTAGGAGGGTTTTTTTTCTTCATAAAGTTTTTTTTTATATTAAATAGTATAGCCGCGAGGCGATACGGAGCTGTTATTTTTTTTTTTGAAAGAAATAGTATAGCCGCCCGGCTAAACGTTTTAAATTTTTAAAAAAGAAATAGTATAGCCGCCTTTTGATAGAAGAAGCTGCGATGAAGCGAATCTCTCCATCTGGAACTCTCTCATTGCCAGCTTGACGGCTTGACTGCATTACACCTTACCGCCGGACGACGACAGCTTCTTGTTCTAGCCCTGCGGCTTCGGTCTAACCCACGTTTGTAGGTTTTGATTTTTAAAATCGTTTCGAACCAGTTCCGTTTTATCACTGATTTATAAAAAGAAGAAAGAAAAAATTGCACGAGCCCTAATATTAGGCTTGTTTCTTTAACCGGCTTTTGTTAACGGTGCCGTGCATTGGATTCAGCGGCGTGAGGAAGTCAAAGATGAGGATGTGATTCTGTCATTTGATTTTCCGCTGCAATATTTGGCAAGATCATGTTAACGGTACCGCGCGGCTATACTAATTTTTTATTATTTAAAAAAGGCACGAGTATAGCCGTATTAAAATTCCATTACTGATTTCGGTTCATCATCATATCACATTAGTCCCACCAGTTTTAACTCAAGGTTTATTCTCAAGTCTCCATTAAGGTTGCTTGCACCAAATTTCAGTTTGTATATTTGTTTATCCAAAAGGATCCCAAAATCTGCTTCAAATTTGTTTCGTAGACAAGTTCATATAATTCCAAATGTATATACTTGTATAAAATACCTATGTAATTTGAATATGAACTGTATGCCATACGACTAATAGCATTGAAAGCCAATCAAAGGATTTAGTAGAAATAACCAGATTCAAAATTAAATCTTGCTAAACATCAAAGAGTATTTCTTTGGTCTATAGGATTAACTTCTTGTAACCGGCATTAGTAAAGTAGGGAAATTTCTACTCTTATCAAACTCATGAGATCAGAAGTCACATAAACTGACTACCAACACCTCAACCACGAGGCTTGTATCTCATAGTGATGATTGTAAGGTAGTCTCAAAATCTTAAACCAAGTCTTGTATTATGCTTAGGTGATCTGAAATGTAATGCAGTACCCGTTTCCTTTCGGAAAAGCAAAGAAATGTTATGTTGCACACTATATTCTGTTTATTCTATTATTTATTAAAGAGTTATTTACACTAACACCCCCTAAGGGGTAAAATGATATACTCACTATTTGCAAGTGACTATTCCTAGTGGGTATAGTCGAGATGTTGTTAACTATGCTACTAAGTTTTTTGTATGCTCGACTTAAGGCTGGCTGGTTTAGGCTACTCGAATACGTGATATACGCTTGTATCTGGTTTATTTAGTATATGCAAGTTTGCATATACAGGATGCTAAATTGATGCGTTATGGGTGTAGTATTTGTTCTTGTATTTCAGCTGGGAGAAAATAAATATGTTAATTTTGCAAGAAAAAATTAATGGATTCAGAGAAATATTGATATGTCCTTCCTTGTGTAGTTTTGACGATACATATTGGTTGTCGAATTGTTTAGTATGTTTTAGCAATCCCAATAATTGTGGTGTATGCTTGAGTTAAGGTTTGGCAAACAATACTTAAATATTAGATGCCCCATACTTTGGCTGCCCTCACAGTCTACCACCTACCCCATCTGTAATTTAAGCGGACTATTTAAAATGATGCTGTGCTTTCAGCTTTTTTGGTGCTCAAGGAATGTTCATTGAAGACTAACTATGCTGTCCCCTATTCTCTGTATAACAAGCAGGTAAAAGTTTGGTGCACACGGCAGGAAAGGAAACTAGCTAGTGTTCTTGACATTGATATGAAAGCGAACATTTGTTGCTTTTAAGTATAATATTTTATCTACAGCAACTGCATTGCAGTATATATTACATGAATCGTATCTGTACGTACACTTTGAAAGTAAGATATTGGTCCCCTGTTGATTATCTTGCATGAGACTAAATCCATTTAGAGTAAAATGCACCTAATTCTGGTACCCCTATGAACTTCAATCCATTTCATTGGCCACTTCTCCAGTATGAATTTGACCCATTCTAAAGAAAAACTTGTGGTGGCAACCCAGCAGTAACTCCATTACAAATGTTCCGGATGATGGATCATTTGCAGATTTCCACGAATCCAGGAAGCGTCTCTCTCCCGTTTTGGTGTTCAATCCTGTCATCATTTCAGGTAAGAAAGTATCACAGGGATAACCAAAGCATTCCCAAAAGATTCCTCCAGATATATGATCTCTCAAAATGAAGTTTCCGGAGTCTAAAAGCACTAGGTGGGCTGCACCCATGGGTCTAACGCCTAGAGGAGTAATCGAGGGCCCATCTCTTTTTTTTTTTTTTTTTTATCAACATATAATTTTCCTTTTCAAACCCTAACTCTAACAAGAGCCGTCTTCCAGCCCCTCTCTCTCGCTCAGACTTCTTCTTCAATCCTCATCTCTCTGTCTCTCGTTCATAGCACCATCGTGATCTCTTCCCTGACCTTGGAGATTCCAAAATGGCGTTTTTTTTTCTAGGCGCAGCGCCTGCCTAGCCCGTCCGCCTAGACCAGCTAGCGCCCGCCTAGACCGCCTAGTGAGCCTAGCCCCAGCCTAGCCCGCCTAGCCCCGGCCTAGAACATAGAGATCTTGGCCACCATCTGCATATACCCTCATGTCGCCCGCCTAGACCGCCTAGAGGCCGCCTAGCGACTGCCTAGACCGCCTAGCGAGCCTAGCCCCGCCTAGAACATAGAGATCTTGGCCACCATCTGCATATACCCTCATGTCCATTAGCTCCCCAAACTACATGACGCAACCTCTCCCTCCGTTTGAAATCTCCATGTTACAATAAGCAGTGCAAGAACAGTTCTCCAAACACTTCTCTTTACATGCCTCAAGGCTCATGTCCCCATCCACAAATGCACCCCCAATCTCAGGCAATTTCACACTCCTCAACGCCAAGAACTTGTCTTTCGTGCATTTCAGTTCTCGTTTTCACACACACCCATCAAACCCATTTCCCAAATTCCAAGCCTCCAAATTCTTAGGCTGAAACCCCCTCACACATTTACACACAGGTGAAAACATTTGTGTCACAAATACCAAATGGGACCACACTCTCCATAGCTGTCACATTGGTCCTTTTGGGGATACTGAAATATATTTCACATCTTTGTGCTCTCAACCCATGTAATCTGTTGACCGTCCCCGTTTGGACTCACTGTTAAGCCTGAATATTAGACCTCATCTTGTTTCGTAACGAAGTTGAAATTGACACCATGCTTTGAAGCACACATTTTCCGGCACACCACTAAATATCATCCCATTCCAGGGGCCGGTTCGAAAGTTTTTAACATGTTTGTCCCAAAGGAAAATCTCCGGGAAGCCATGGTGATCTAGTTTGATAGAAAAGTCCCCTGTTGACGGGTCCTCTGAGCTTTTCCACGAGGTCAAGTACCTGTTTAAACCTGTGCTCAACTTCCATCCAAGCTTCATATCCGGAAGCAGAATGTGTGTGGGATAATCAAAGCTCTGCCAGAAAAATGTTGGGCTGTTTTCGGTTCCTTCTTTGATCACAAGATTGCCTATATCCAAAAGCAGGACATTTGGTCTCAAAACTTGGGTGTGATTGGAGGACCAAGTGACATTTCCAGATGGATCAAGAAGGACAATGTTTCCATGTTCACCAGTCATCAAAAGAGCTCCTGATGGATTTGAAAGTGGGGTGTCTCTGTTGGCCACCCAAACAACTGTACTGTTTTGGACATTTTTGTACCATATACATGCCCAAGTACCAGCCTGAAATATTGCCTGGCTTGAAGAAACCCAACTCAAAGACTTCACAGGGGGAGACAATGGTCATGTTTCCTTCGACAATTAATTAATATATTATAAATATTGTATATGTATGCCTTGCCTTCCTCACTTATTTTTGCTGTGACCAACCAATTAACAGATGTACAAGTGAAGTGAATACATCATGTCTGTACTCTGTACATGCATTTGAGTGCGAGAGATTGGCTCCTCAAATAAATAAATAAATAATTAATATTGTCAGTTTCCTCATTAACATCGGCTTGCCATAATGCCATTGCCAAGCGTAATGTATTTCCATTTCCTAATTAAATGGGGGATGTTTTGCTGAACCCGTAATTGGAGGGCATGATCATTCTTGCAAATTAAGGTGCTTTGTCAAGAAGATCCTGGTCAAACTTCTCTGTCTATTATCTATAGCTATCTCCTTTTTAAAAGCTAGCTGTCCAATGAATTTATGTTACTTGATCATCCGTTCCGTGAATCCGTGATGATGATTATATTCGTAACCCTACCTAACCAAGCTTACATTATATTTAAACAATATGACTACAAAGAAAATGTTGCTGCCCTATACTATATACTATTTACATAAATATAGGTAAGGTGGAGGTGCACCCATAAACTAAGCAATCTCTGTGTCTAGTCCTAGACTCTGCAGTTCAAGTTGCAGCACCACCTCTATTAATAATCATGAATCCCGTGATGAGTCTCTGGATCAGGACGCCATCGCTTATGCTGCTGGTGAAGATGAAGGGGAATCGCCAACTATACAAGAAGAAGAAGAAGATGACTGACGAAGATGGACAACAGGAAGAACATAAAAATGGAACTCTGTTGCAGGCAGAAGAAATACCTCAAGCTTTTAGCGCAGAAGAAAAAGCAGGAGGAAGTGAATCTTTGATAAAAGAACGAGAAGAAGAGATGGAGACAACAGAGCTGGAAACAAATCACGTTAATGACTACTTGGCCATTACCAGTACAGAACAGATGAACTCAAAATTTTTTTTGAAGAATTTATAAGAAAAATGAAAGAGGAAATCAGGATTGAAGCTCAACGGCAACCCATTGCCGTTTAACCATTCAGCGAGCAGATGTGCCGCTGCACATACATAAAACCTATAGAGTTCAGTTTGTTTAACCGAGTATCGTATAGCAAGCGGCTATACCTTTAAAATCTTATATTTATAGTGTATTGCCATGCAGCTATACTCTTTAAATCAACATTAAAAATATGGATTTCTCTGTAGCAAAGTTGAGCCTTGAGATAATGAATCAATTAGACATGGTATGTATTTCTAGCTTTGTTCCTATGTGTGCGCTTAGGGTTGAGGGAATATTTACGCCTTCTTTGTGTGTTGAATGTGTATGACGAGTGATACAAGGAGGTTGCTTATCTTTTTAAGTTCCCTTTATCATATTTCCTTATATATATATATATATATATATTCGAATATTTAAACATTATAGCCGCACATATTATGTTTTAATTATTATATAATATTGAAAAAAAAACAAAGTCCACAAAATAATTAATTAGTATTTATTAAGTCATTTATGAAATTGGTAAAATATTTAAATATTTACTAAACAAAAAATAATTACTAAATAAAAAGGCTAAGATATTAATGAATTACATATATTAAATTAAAGAAGTTGGCCAAAAAACAAAAGTAAAGAAACTAATTTTATATTTTTAAAAATTGAAAAAAAAAGCAAAAAATTATTTCGTCGATAGGTCTATGCCGGCAAATATTTGCCGGATTAGACCCCTCCAGATGAAAATTAGCTATGCGGGCGAAATTTCGTCAGGAGAGGTCTAATCCAGCAAATATTCGTTGGGAGAGGTTTAAAAAAAATAAATAAATAAAAACTTAGTATCTTTAGCTGTTTTTTTCAAATTTTCTTTTAAGTAATTAAATAATATCATGGCATAATTTATTTAATTTCATTAGTATTTATTTAGTGAATAATTAGTATTAAACATTTTAATTAAATCCACAAATTATATTACTTAATTAATAGAATTTTATTTTTTTATTTAATAAAATATTTAAATACTAATTAGTCACTAAGTAAATAATAATTAAAACATAACTACTAATTAAAGTAATGTAAAAAGAGAAATTCAAAGTTTGTTGTATAGCCGCGCGGCTATACTTTTAAAATATTCTATTTAAAGGTTCCTAAAGTTTCTTTTGCGTGTCGTACCATTTATCATGTGCGTGCCTCTAGTACTTTTGCCGAGGGTCATATGTCGAACAATGTTCATGACTTGTGTACTATTCGTTCCTTTGGGGGTGCATTATAGACCTAGCCCCGATCCCAAAATTATATTGAGGTTGTGTGGCATCCCCCTTGCTTTGGTTCGGTCAAAATTAATACTGATGACCCTCGCAAAAGTGACTTTGGTAAAGCAGGTAGTGGTGGTCTATTTCGAGACTATCATGGTTGTGTACTTAGGGCATTTTGCTCCAATTTAGATGTCCCTAGTGCAATACATGTTGAAGTTTTAGATGTCATCAAGGCCATTAAGCTTGCTTGGCTTCATGCTCGGCATAATGTTTGGATTGAAACTGATTTGTTATTAGTTACTCAATTCTTTCGCTCTCCTCATTTGGTCCCTTGCCAATTGCGAGTTGATTGGCAGAATTGTTGCATCATCTCCAACACATGTTGTTTAAGATTTCTCATATATTTCACAAGGCTAATCATGGAATTGACACTTTGGCAAATCACGATGTTCAGGGCTCTGGTTTCACGTGGTGGGACACTGCACCTTCATTTATTTTGTCTTCTTCATCGGGGACTATCTGGGCATGCTGAGTTACCATTTTACTTAGTCCCCTTTTGTTTACTCCTTTAGAGTTTTGGTTTCTTGGGTCCGCATGTTGCTATGCCTTTATGTCATTGTCTTTCTTTTCTGTAGGGTTTTGGTTTGGTCCCCCTGCTATACTTGTTTTCTTTTTATGTTTCTTTTATATTAATAAAATTATGATCAAGGGGACGGGCGGGGGCCTCTGGAAATGTGTTGGTCCCTTCTTTGAGGGTTGTGGATGTTTGTGCATCCAATGACCGTTACTGAAGAGCTAATCTCGCCTGATCTCTTGTTTTATTTTTTTAAAAAAGAAAAGAAAAAAAAGAATACTACCACCTCTTACTACTATACTCATACATCTTTGTTTGAAATTGTTGTTTTGGTTGGCAAAGAGATTTTGAAAGTTCACTGTCTTGCATTTTTGTTACAACAAGAAATAATCTTAGCCTCTCACTTTCTTTCATAGTTAGTAAAATATGGAACGGGAAAAATACGTACGTGATTTATTCGGAAATTTTTTAGCAAGTTACAACTAAAAAATTCGGCCACTATATAATGTTTTAATATATAATATTTTAATTCAATAATATATGAAAGTTTTGTAAATAAACTTGTGTATTAAACATGAATAATATATATGTACATGTACATTGTACGTTTGCTTTTATTTTTATTTTTATTTTTATAAATATGTATTGTACCGAGTCTTTAAGACGTGTACAGAAAATGAAAGTATTATTGAAAAATACGTACTTACGTGTATAATACAAGTATTGAATGGGAAAAATGCTAAATTATTTATATGGGTAATAAGTAAAAAAAAATCAAAAGGGGACAATAAAGACTCGGGTAAGGGTATAATAATAATGGATAATGTTCTAAATTACTCTTATTGATAAAGGAAAATTAGGGAAAATATTTTTTATTTGAAGGAGTACAGTCATGCAGCTTTACTCTTTAAATATATTATTTAAGGCGTACGGCCGCACGGCGATACTGTTTTTTAAAATAAATTTAAAAACAACCCGCCCAGTCAGCCGACTTTTCGAAAACTTGAATGTCGTTTTTTATTTATTTTAAAGATTACTTTTTTCCTGGCGGGTCTGTCATCTCTGCAAATACTCAAAAATGGAGACCATCCCTCTTGTTGGTGATATGAGATATGAATCATTCTTGGACAAATCAAAGCAGGACATAGCCTCTTCTTCAGAGTTGGTGCTGGGAAGGTCATTGTTCATCAGCTCCAAGCCACTCCTTGGTGTCCATAAATTAGGGTGAACCTTGGGAGTTGCCTGCATTCAATCAACATCATCAGAATCAAATGACAAACTGTCGCTTCGGTTTCAATTCGAAAGGAAATAGAGGAGAAATCTAATAGGAAAGAATTATAAAGCATGTCATTCTTTACCACTCAACTAGAATTAAGGTCCTGTGGCCATTTACAGAGAAAATGAATGTCGTTTGATGCTAACTCCGAAATGGCATTCAGTCCAGAGAAAATAAATAGTATAGCCGCGCGGCTATACGATATATTTTTTAATAATTAAAAAAACCGCCTAGCCCGCCTAGGCGGCCGATTTTCGAAAACTTGAACGGCGTTTGTTTTTTTTTCAGATTTATTTTTTCCTGGCGAGTCTAGCATCTCTGCGAATACGTTTTTGTCAATTCTCAGTAATGTAATCTGTGTGAAATGCAGCTTTTGGATCCATAAGATGGGCAAAAAGAGTAAATCAAAAACTCCCAGAGAGATGCAAGATAATACAGTTGCTGTAGTAGAAGAGGAAAAACCCCCATCTTCGGCCAAGAAATTGCTGAATCATTGGTTGAGATTCAGTTCATGTTTACCATGCATATATTTTGGTTTTAATTTATGTTTCAATTACTAGGCATATGAAGCCTCATCTGATCATACTTTCTGCAACAGGAACACTCGGAGAGCAATGAGGGTGATTTGAGCTACTTGTTTACATTCCGTGAGTATCCACTTTTGTTGTTTTATGTGTTATCTTCAGGACATGAGTACATGAAATGGATGGGGACAGGGAGATCCATTGGTTGAGTACTTGTACCCATTTTTCCATATTTTCATTCAATTTCAATGCTAACATGGCCTGTTAGATCTCCAGTCCGATCTGTATGAGTTCGAGTATGGGATTCAACCTTAGTAGCATCTCCAGGTTCACCTAAAACAAACATAACACTTAATTTGTGTGTCATTTATAAT